ATTAATTAAATCTAGAAAAAAAAAAACTAACGTGTTTAAATCAATACATACGTAATGTAATGATTTCTAAATAGTCAAACATACAAATGAAGCTATTTCAAAATCGTTTCGAGAAACGTTACTTAGCTTAGCATACATAACAATTTCGAGAATTACATAATTTCCTTCGAAAAATGTTTAGTTTGAAGTTTGAGTACTTCTTTGAAGTCTGTTTGCTTTGGTAATATGATCCTTCGTAGAGTAGAAAACTAATATAATCCTTATTTAAAACCTCTTGAATCTTGGTCATGGGATTGTCATTAGTAATCAGTTCCCAGAACGAAAAACTTTCATACGAGTGATTTTACTCACATTAAATTTTCTGGGAGAAATAATTTACTAAATTGGCAACACTTCAATGTGCGATACGCGAAACCGCATCTCCGTGCCACATTTTGTGCTCCACATTAATAATTATGATACATAGGGCCTATTTAAAGCTATATTGAATAACGGATCATATCAAAAAGTATTTATGCAAACAACAAAAAGTATTTTAAGCTCCTTGGTAATCGATTCGGTTGTTTTGATCAAATTATTATTGGACTAAGGATATTATGCTTGGTATATAAAGTAGATATAAGTGAAACATATTCATCATTAATTTATTTTCCATCGTGTCTCTTATATGTATATATATCTAAGGCAGTAAAGAGGTTCGTAAAATATTGTGTTACTACAATACAAACACCTGTACCGACATCCCAGCAAAATCCAATATTACACAGTAGAACATTTGACACATTATCATCTATAACAACAGAAAATGTGTAGAAGTTGCAAAAAAAATTGCGGATTTTTCGTTACTTACTATGACACAAATTTTTGGGAGGACCGATTTTTCGTGTAAGTTTTTGCCATAAGCGCCATGCTGGCCGAAGGGTAGAACATGGCTGTTAATAGCAATAACGCGTTGTGTTCTGTATGTGTACTGTTTTTGGAACTAATGGCTAACGAGAGCCTTTTTTTGAGGTAGGAAAATCATCAAACGTCTTCTCCCTTCCTGGGTGTGGCGAGAGGGAGTGTCAGACTCTTATTGACTAAAAACTACTTTGTTCCTTATCCTGTTTGGCGCGGTTAGCAACCCCGGCTGGAATGCAAAAGCCTAGGGTACTGATGATAGAGGGTCATTATTTTGCCATCGGCTTTTACAACAACCAGAGGAAGAGCAAAGAATGGATTCAACTGTGTCGTCATCACAAGGAAATTACAACAAAGGTTTAAATTATAAATGAGTAGATTGTTGCCAATTCTTTATTTCAACCAATATCTTTACAAATATCGGGCCGGCTTACAAGATTGTGACTGGCCGATGACTAATCACTTATCTATTAAAGATTTGATAAGATTTATAGCCGTTTTGTGGGTCAAATTGATAACCTGTTTACTAATGTCATTTTGAATGGAAATTAACTTTGTTTTGTATTTAATTTCTACATCGAATATGTCAATGGAATTGCAATGCGTAAGCTTGAGAGCTGCGTAATCGGTAATGCGTTGATTCATTGTGGAGTTTTAAATAAATTTCGATTGCAGAAAGATATGGTATTAAATCTGTTGGTAATATTTGGCAACTACTTAAAGTAAAAGTATTGTGTATCTCGTAGAATTTTAAGATACAGAAAACTTAACTGTTTTTCATTTAGTACGATATGACTGAAAAACAAATATGTATTCAATTATTTTCAGTTTTTTGAGAAAATAAGTGTCTTAACTTAACACTTTTGCTGTCCGGAAAGCTTGTACAATTCCACTAACCAGGTTGCCATACAAGTCAATGGCCCATATATCTAACAATACATAAAAACAAGAATGGGTTGCGGAACGGAGTCGGTAGCCGAAGCTGAGAGCTAAGAAAAGCCTTGCAATTCCTAACTCATTCGAAAACAAATTAAGGGAAGTTATTAACTCTTTGCCTCTTTTCATTACTTTGTAAACTACATTTTACATGCTATGCCATTATTCGTCAAAGTTATTATAAGGCTCAAAGGCTCAAACCGCAAAGAAGTCTTACAATATCCACATGCATCGTCTGCTTTCCATCTCAGTTTACATTTTTATTTTGACGCCTCTAAACTTACTGCACGTGTACAATGTAGCGTTTGTACAGAAGCATCGTTTTGAATTCGATTTTGTGATTTTTCTTTCTTACCTTTGTGAGCTTTGATGTTCTCTACTCGTGACTTGTTCACAAAGGATTGTAAAACCAAATGTGAATCGACGTGTTCCTAGTACTTATTTTGTTCGGAAATACGTGTTTTTCTTTTATATTTTACTTCAAAAACATCTGGTGCTAATAATAATAATATTAAAATTTTATGTCATAATCAACAGCTGTTGTCGATCATTTTAAGACATTTATATGAGTTGCTTGCTGCTTCTAGTTTATTGGTTACAAATGAATAAAGGCACTAGCAGAAGTGGGTATATGATTGATGTACTATCCGGAATTAGGGTTTTGAAAATTTTGGGATTGGGGAAGAAAGGGCGAGTTTTGGATTTGTCTTACTAACACGGTGAAATAGAGCGCTTTGGTTGTCTCACGCTGCTTTTCTGCAAGGACGTGGACTCCAGTCGAGCCGACCCATTCGTGCCAACCCTGGGCTCTCCCACACTTCAACTTCCACTCTAGACTTTAGATAATTGTGAGTTCAGTGGCTCAATAAACTGTTTTCTTCTAAATAGCTATTTCTATTATCGCAGTTGAGTTAATTTTGGTAACAGATTTTTTATTACCCATCTCAGTATAAAGAGTAATGTTTATTATTACAAGCTATTATTTTCGTTGACGTACAAAAACTGTCTTCATCTTTGTGCAAACATCTTGTTTATTAATATTGTCGAGCAAAATATTAGTATTTGTTTCTTAGTCAAACATAATTATTTGTCTTTTTTATTGACACTCTTTTATTTATATTTCTTTGTGTATCACTGTGTATGTACCATATTGTTTTATTCTCATCTATCTTTTTATGTTTTCATAGCTACTCAGTCAAGTGGCGACAGCCATTCTATTTCCCTAACTACAAACACACGACATTAGGAGCACGCTAACAAAGAGCTTGTTAAAATTCTTCTATATGAAACCGTTAGGGCGCCCTATTAAAACAAAACAAAACTATAGAATGCAAGGAACATTGAAATCTCCCGATCCGAAACATTTCGCAACAAAAACTGATCGAATTTTGTTTATAGTTTGGCTCAAACTGTTTTTATAGTCGTCTTAGGATCAAAATATATCTGTATTGTCAGTGTATAAATAATTTATTTCGTCTAGAAGTAGGTCAACAATTATGTCAACGTATAACACCTATACTATACAGTCTAACAGATTTATTATTATAGATATATTGTTTAATTATAGCAGAGTTATAGTAAAATTACACGAACGAAAACAATTGACGGTTGGTTTTTGCTCGCGTCTTAAGTTCAGTAAGATCAAAACGGATCCACCATTGTAGTCAAGTTTTTGTAGAATCAAATGATTGACATCTTTTATAATTATAAGATTTAGAACGAGTAGAATAAAATGTGAACTTTTTTAATTCGTTTTTTTTATTATAATACACCGTGGTTGTACATTGCTCCCGCTTCTCATGCTATAGGGGTCCGAAACTTGGCAAGCACCTATGTGCCTTTTTAAGTTATATTTATGTATTCTCGACGTCTATTTAGGTACCACTGAAAAAAGGCGAAGGGAAACATCGTGTTTTTATAAGTACAAGTTTCCTCAATTTCTAATTGTTTTAAAATCACCAATTCGTGTTGAGCAAGCGTGATGATTAAATCCTTTCCTCAAATGCCTCTTTTCGTTTGAAAAGGGACATTTGCTCAGCAATGGGTAAGGGACTTTGGTTTGGTTTATATGCTGATGATGTAGGAAAAACTTGGAACAATGTTTTGGGATGATTTGTTTTTTCTGATTATAATTTATTAGAAAAAAATGGGTATTATTTCAAAAGTCCCTACATTAAATGCCTTGCTCTGGTTATTTATAAAAATATTTCTGCTATAAGTTGGTAGCTTTTGTATACATTATTTTGAGCGTAATGAAACCAAACCTCATTAATTATACAATTACAGTAGTGAGTACAATGTTTCTTCGATTCCGAAGGTCTTGGGAATGTTTTTTTTTGGTTTCCTGTAAAAGTTTAAATCTTAATTTCGTAAAATAGAGTAACAAAAGCTTCAAGGTTAATGTAAAGCAATTAACCGAGAGACTGCGGGACTACTGGTTTTATGTAGCACTTTAGTCGTGGACTGTACATTATATCATATCACATGTCGACGCGTATTGGCTGTTGGCATACATTCCACGGATTAAGCGCGCAGTCTGCTCTCCTAACCGTAATATTCGCTGATAGTACCGCGACACACACCCTGCGTTTCTTATGTCCAACAAATTGGCGGCTCCTAGATTACTGTCCGTGGTCCGTTCCTGTCAAACATTTCACTTAAGACCATTAAACGCTTGTCAATATTTTTTTGTGCAAACATCAATGTTATTATTATTTGATCTTGTGATAGAAATGACGCAAAAAATATTACACGGACAGTCATCATTAGCCCAATTACCCTAATGGTTGGCAACGTGTATGAAAAGCATGTTTGTTAGATTTGCCTACGTATCTGGATCATCAAATCTTCGCTGTCTTGGTGAAGTCTGACATCAAGCTTCATCATTGTTTTTGCGATGTCTACGTCTCTATCAAAGCAGTCATTGTAATTAAAATTCACAATAGAAAAAAATGCAAAATCATTTGATGAATTATTTATTTATATTAATTGATGTTTTTGTATGGCAATCTTATAGTTGACATAATGGGAGCATCATCGTCTAGAATGTTGATGACTGGGAGAGGGAATAGGCTTTGTGTTTTAGTAATCAATGCATCCATTGAACTGCAACGTGAAAATGAGTTTGTATTCAAATGTCTCTCACTCCTCACTGTAGTAATAGACGTGCCTGAATGCGCCTTGCGCCAATTTCGTTTGACGGCAGTCGCTCGCAAGCAGGTGCGTTGTGCGCGCGTGCGTCCGCCATATTTGAGTAACAGCTGATATTGCCGCCAACGCGATCTTGTTACGAACATTTTGAATTAACGAATACGACTGTAGCTTTGATTTTAAATGCACAAACATTATAACTGAGTGCAGTGATTAAATAAACGGACTAATGAAGATGACAGTTAATCGAATAAGAGTTGTGGTGCTGGGGAGCGCGCGGTGCGGCAAGTCTGGTAAGAATAACCTCAGGAAAACATTAAAATTGTTATTAGCAGGTGATTTATGCGGCTGGCATGCTAAGTTTAAGTCGACGGCGTAGTTGAAGCTTTGGTTAAATACGGCTTTTAACGATTTGTCGATAATTATGGCTTTTTTATTTTTCTAATCGAGCGCCGAAATCAATTATCCGTAATAGCTTGAAAAGGGTTTTTATTTTGTTTTGAATGCCCTGAGGTAGTTATTAGGATTATTAATTTAATTATAGGCTGTGGTGTAGATTAGTTAGTTAATAAACAGATGTGTAACTCATTGATGCCTTGAATTCTTCCGACTGGTTTAGTTTTGATCTTTAATTGCTTTGGATTATATTACATTACGACACCAATAAGAGTGAAATTTAAATTACATAATTATTTAAGAAAGAGATTAATGTTTCTATGTTTTTACGACCAAATTGTGTTTTTGAATACATTAAAGTGTTTTAAGTGTGCTTAGAAATTATATGGACTTTTGAATTTTAACAACTGTTATTATGAAGTTCTGTTGCGGGTATGACTTGATGCATAGGTGCAACTTTCGCAAGTTCCTTTACACTTCCAGGTTTGCACTTTAATACTAGCTCTTGGCACGGTTTCTAGAATAAAGATGAAACTAAAGCTGAGAATTTAGAATTTTAATTAAAACACATACAATCCTAGAGCACAAAAGCCGGTTACTAGGCATGTGGTTTACAGATTTTGGCTTTTTAAATTAATCCAAATTCGCTACACACCAAACAACAGTAGAAACCAGAAAAATTACGGAACTTGAGTAGTGGCTCCTTAAAATCAGGTTTTTTTTCTTCGGAAATTAGGTATGACTGTATACATCAGGAATGTTTTTGTGATTCTAAGTACATTATCTTATCAACGAATAATTCGCAGAAGTATTCTAAACGTAAACACAACGGAAGAAGGCGACAATAAAGACTGACTTAGTAGATGTTTAATTGAGATCATACTTGTCTTTATAACGATATCATTGTTTGTTTACACCAGCACTTCAAGCTATTCCAGTATATCAATAACATTCATCAGATTTTCAACCTTATGGTACTGTAACATAATTGAAAATAAATTGCTTGGATGTTCAGCTTGATGTGCAGGTTTTTCTTGCAGTTCTATGGAATCGGCCGATAGGGTATTGACATAGTATGTACACCGGTTATCAGTACCGTGATACCGTGATACGAGACGACTGATAATAAAACTAACATTAACTGTTGCACTTGAAAGGTCTATAACAAAGGCAGTTGCATCGTTGTACATAATTTATCTGTGTAAGGCTAAATGACTGCGTAAATTAAAATAAAGTGCGTGTTTAGTAAACTAGTACTTACTGTATTTCCGTAATAATTAAGGTATTATTTATTAGACTTCGTGTCTAATAAATAATAAACCTTTTTTTTGGTTGGTTTTGATAATTTCGTGACATTTTAAAGAGATTTTAATATTAGTACGTACACGTGTGTTTTATTTCATAGTACATATATATAGGTACTAAGAATGAACAAAGACAATTGGTTCCGTTTGTATCTTTCAAATTTAAAGTGCAAAAAGCACTAAGGCTTCATATCGTTTTAAATATAATAGAATTACGAGAAAACTTCTGAAGTCTTGTTTTTGAGGTGGAAAATTATCACCCTAGGTAGGGTGAGAGAAGGGAGTGTCAGGCTCTTACTGATTATATACTACTTACACGGTTTCTTCTTCCACTTAATGCCGTTAAAAGTTAACGAGTTTATGGAGCAGCAAATGCAGTACTCAGTAGTGAATTCTACCAAGTACAAAGACCTGTTTGGCCTTATGCATACACAGAAGTAATTTTTATTATTTCATATTTTTGCCTCCTATCTCTTCTAATTGCCGGCTGTTGAGTTGCCGTCCAATGATAACAGATAGTAATCAATGCGTAAGGCTTTGGTTGCGCAGTAGGATAATCTTACGCCTAGACATTACATATGGCTTCACGGCCATGAAGGGTTTATCCTTGATATCGATCCGGACTTAGTTCGCAATATATAATTACAAGTATTACATAAAATATACACAGGTTGACGATCGCCTTAAGTTTATTAAACTCCCAATGTCAATGGCACTGCCCAGATGCAGAACACTTTTATTCAGTACACGAATAGAAGTTTCTAGACTTTTAACTTTACTATTTCTATGAGATCATTGCCCTAGTGTATAGGTAACATTCGCAAAGACACTTAAAAGTACATTTATCGAATTATTTTTGCCGTCAATAAAATTGTAAGGAACGCTTTATGTTTTTCAACCTAGATGCTTCGTTCGTGGTTCGTTGACTGAGGAAAAAGAAGTTTGTGTATTTTTTTACCTTCGTAATGTTTAGTTAACCCCTAAAAAGACATAGCAACGAAACGCATGCATATACCCATTTTTCTAATACCTAACCTACCTACATAAGTCTAGTAATTTTTATTCTAAAACCACTTTGCAATTGTGTTTTTAGGTTATATCTAAAAGACAATGAAAATTAGGACTAAACACTTGATATAATGGTTGGTAATATACAATATAATTATGTCTGTAGTCTAATCTTAATTATAACTATTGACTTTATTGTTTGAAGTAGAATCGATTATGTGTAAGACCGAGAAATGGTTAGCGCCGGATGTTTTAGCCTCGGGTTGTGGAATCGCAAGGATACAATTAAGTGTGATTGGTCGTTATTTCTACGCCCATTAAAGCCTGTTCACTCTATTTCGCGGGATGATTGATAGCTGACATATTATTACGATGTTTTCATCCACATTTTATGGTTAGAAGTGATTTAGTTGTTTGAGGCTTAGTCATATCCTAGCACAATTAGCTTTGAGTTGAAACCTACATAATTATGCTTTGTTTTTGTTCACAAAACTGGTTCGGAAAGCCATTTCATAAAAGTTATGTAGGGTCCATATGTTGATGATGATTCATATGGCAGGTAGATGGGAGATTTGTGTTAATTTTCTTAGGACACGTAACTCGAGAATAATTCTCTTTTGTTAGGACATGAATAAGTTCTGAATTGGATTTTATTTTTGGTTGTATAACTCGATCTATTATCATTATTGGATTATTTGGGTGTCACCTGTCACGTTGAGTATTACAAATTCTTAATTAGATTGTCTTCTTTTGTAATGGCTATCCTATTAAATAGTTTTCAACCGAAATAATCTATCTTACGTTTTATGGATTACTTTTTATCACATCATCATTTGATCTTACTTAACTTAATAATTCGTTAAGCGTTTTGAATCCACAATCTTATGTATGAGAAGTGGGACTCTTCTCTGGGCCATCATAATTATTTTTAAAGTTGAAATATGTTGATCGTTTCATGAATTTTAGTTATTCTGTAGGTTTTTATACGTACCCTTAATAAACTTGAAAAAAAAAGTTGAAATACAATTAGCTGTTACTATTATTACTTAATGTTTAAAAAAATCACTTAACTGCGTTACTTACTTCACATTTTGGCGCTATCAAACCAAAACCAATCATGTAACACCCTATACAAATAAACGTATAATATACTTAAATGCCAAGTAGAGCTATTTGTACTAAAATATTTCAATTAAAAGGTGTTGTAATTTAGTGGAGTAATATGGGAGAGGCCTATGTCTAGTCGCAAAATTGAAATAGCATTTTGCAAATAAATTAAAACCATTTATAACTACAACATACACCTGGCTCCCAGACACCGATAGCAATCACCCAGATATTTTCAAATAACTCAATCAATTCTTACTTTTAGACTTTGTTGAGAGTAACATTAGAAACTAGCTTTTGCCCGCGACTTTGTTTGTCTACTATTCTATGTCCTTTCTCGCAAATAGGTTCAGTAGTTTAGGCGTAAAGAAAAGACAGACAGACAGACAGAGTTACTTTCGCATTTATAATATTAGTTTGGATATTTCTTCAGTATAGCGAATACTTACTTTGTTGTTCGATATTTGTCTATTTGTTGCGAAGTGCCAGACAATTTACGTTCAATTGTTGAGTTTTAGCCAATTTATCTGTCCGTCTGGCGTCTTGATGTTTGATTACAATTGATGTAACTTTACCAAAACACATGATTTTTCATCTGTGTTCTCATATTTTTGCAATGATTGTGTGCAGTTTGTGTGATGTGCTCTATAAATACATTTGTGGAAAATCTTGCATTAGTAAGTTTCTTTTTTTGTTATTTTTAGTTTGTTGTCTGTGGTACAGACTATAAAGATATTTTCTCGTAGATTATTCGTACGTATGTCTTTAGACGTAATGACAAATTAAAATTGAATTCTTAACGAATATATTTTGGAAAGCTTCTCATTACTAGTTAGGAATGAGTATTGTGGTTGCGTAACTACTGAAACTCTTCTTTTAGCATGAAGTGTAAAATTTGGTGTATATAGTATATAAATTAGGAATATTATATTGCACTTTTGTACAAAAAACAGGTGGTATGTATGTAATGTTATAATACTGTGTAGCTAAAGTAGATTCACTATTTTAGCCACAACCGGGAAGTAGTAAAACCGAGTAAAACTAATATTTTGAAGATATAAATAGATGGTTGTTTTAAAAAAGATGATTTAATTTCGTTATTTCAGCTTTTGCAGTAACTTATAAAGATATTTATTTTACTTGTAAATGACTGCTACCGTGTACATAACAACGGTAAAATGGTTTAAAGTAAGTAAAAACATACAATGAAATTAGTGGCACGTCTGCAATCTGTAATAAATAGGTACACCTGACTTATTAGCATTTTAAGGAAATGAATATAGGTATCTACATATTTATAATATTACGTTTATTAATAATAAATTACCATATTAGTCATTTTTATCAATCCTTAGTTTCCAAGTTGATTGTTCTATATCAACAATCTCGATCAATTTGCGGCTTTTGATAAAATAGATATGACATTCATTTGTTTAGTATTTTGACCATCTGGTGCTGAACAGTGATGGAATTCGTCC